AAAAGAAAAAAGCCGGAAGTGGCACTGTGGCTCAAGTGGTAGAGCGCTAGCCTTGAGCTGAAGAGCTGAGGGACAGCGCCCAGGCCCAGAGGTCAGGCCCCACAACTGGACCCCCCCCCCAAAAAAAGTGCCTGTTGATCTTTCAAGAGTTCATGAAATAAAAGAACCACATGGGGAATTTGAAGTTTGAGGTGTTTCCATCTGACGCTCACTTTTGTGTGTGTGTGTGTGTGTGTGTATGTGTGTGCCAGTCCTGGGGCTTGAACTCAGGGCCTGGGCGCTGTCCCTGAGCTTTTTTTTGCTCAAGGCTAGCACTCTATTACTTGAGCCACAGCGCCACTTCTGGCTTTTTCTGCTTATGTGGTGCTGAGGAATTGAACCCAGGGCTTCATGCATGTCAGGCAAGCACTCTACCACTGAGCCACCTTCCTAGCCCCTGCACCCTGCATTTTTATTTGCTAGCCCTGGCTTGAATGATGGGGTTTTAGATCTGTACCCCAACCTCCCAAAGAGAGAAGCTCTTTGTTCCACACAAGTGAGAATGCGGAAGGGTTTATAAAAGAGAAATCTGTGGGGCATTCAGACACAATTGGGGTGCTTCTTATGGAATCATCTGGCCGAGGAAGCACACAGAGATGACACAGAGATGTCTATTGTCCTGCTTTTGATGACACAGTGGATTCTTGGAAAAGCCTGGCGGCACACAAAGCTCAGATCTAAGGACGGTGGTAAAATGAATGTTACGGTCTGAACCCAGCACCGGTGCCTCACACCTGTAAGCCCAGTGACTCAGGAGGCTGAGATCCAGTAGTTCAAAGTCATCCAGGTAGAAAAGGCTATAAGACTCCATCTCCAGTTCAATAACAAAAAGCTGGGCTTAGCTGGGCACCGGTGGCTCACGCCTGTCATCCTAGCTATTCAGGAGGCCGAGAGCTCAGGATGGAAGTTCAAAGCCAACAGGAAAGTGTGTGAGACTCTGATCTCCAACATAAGCAGCAGAAAGGCAGAAATGGAGCTATGGCTCAAGTGGTAGAGGACTATCCTTGAGTGAAAAGAAAAAGCTAAGAGGCTGGGCACCAGTGGCTCACGCCTGGCATCCTAGCTACTGGGGAGGCTGAGATCTGAGGATTGAAGTTCAAAGCCAGCCTGGGGAGGGAAAGTCTGTGAGACTCTGATTTCCAATGAACCACCAGAAAACCAGAAGTGGCGCTGTGGCTCAAGTGGAAGAGCACTAGCCCTGAACAAGTTCAAATCTTTTTTATTTGGTCAGTCCTGGGGCTTGAACTCAGGGCCTGGGCACTGTCCCTGAGCTGCTTTTTGTTCAAGGCTAGCGCTCTACCACTTGATCCACAGCACCACTTCCTGCTTTTTCTGTGTAGGTGGTGCTGAGGAATCGAACCCAGGGCTTCATGCATGGGAAACGAGCACTCTACCACTGAGCCACCTTCCCAGCCTACAAGTTCAAATCTTGATACCAGGAAAACATAATTAAAAAGTAACAAGAATACAGAAGCTGGCAAACATTATATAAATAGTAGCCATCTTACTGGAAGTTCACATCTTGGTCTGGAATGGAGGCTAGAGGCTGGGGACGTTGAGGCCTGTGGAAAGCAAACCCTTGTGGGCCGAGGAGCCTTTCTGTGGTCCATTCTGGAAGGAATGACAGTAATGCCAGGCCAGCGTCATCCGGGCCACATGTCCCCAGCTCCCACTGCCCGAGTGTAATTGGACCCGGATGTTGGAGAGGCGGCCTGACTTCAATAAAGCCAGGCCGAGCCAAGAGGCCAGCAGTGCCTTTGCTACCTGTTAATGAAGCCTCATTACACACGCCAGGAGCTGGCGCTGGGTGGGGAAGAGTGATTTAGTGCAGCTGCTTCTGCTGTTTCTGGGGGAAATCCAGAAAGAGCCTCCCTTCCCCCCTCCCTCTCCTTCTGCCGGCTCAGCTAGCTTTCCCCGGGGGACTGCAGATGGCAGAGTCCTTCAGGTCCAGGGCAACTTGCTTCTGTGTGTTGTGTGTGTCCGTCCTGGGGCTTAAACTCTGGGCCTGGGTGCTGTCCCTCAGCTCTTCAACTCAAGGAGAGCGCTCTACCACTTGAGCCACAGCACCACTTCTGATTTTCAGAGTGGTTGCTTGGAGATCAGGGTTTCATGGACTTTCCTGCCCAGGCTGGCTTTGAACTACGATCCTCAGATCTCGGCCTCCTGAATAGCTAGGATGACTGGCAGGAGCCACTTCTGCCTGGAAAAGCTTTCTCAGGGTGAAGCAGGTTTTGTTGTTCATGTTGCCTTGGCTGTTTTAGCCTTTGAAAACTATGGAGGGCCGGCGGCTGGCAGCTCACACCTGTCATCATCCTAGCTACTCAGGAACCTGAGATCCGAGGATAGTGGTTCAAAGCCAGCCCAGGCAGGAAGGTCCCTGAGACTCTTCATCTCCAATAAACCACGCAGAAAACTGGAAGTGGCGCTGTGGCTCAAGTGGTAGAGCGCTCGTCTTGAGCTGAAGAGCTGAGGGACAGCGCTCAGGCCCAGAGTTCAAGACCCACGATCGACAAAATAAATAAACTCCACTACTGAGAGACTGAATAAACAACTGTGTGGTCCACTCTGGATGCTGTAGCTATGTGTGACAGGTGGGCAGGGAGGAAGTAGGGGGAACAATGGCGTGGGGCTCTCTTTGTGGCTTCTGTGGCTCTGCGAGCTATGTAAAGATGCAGGTGCAGGGTTTCAGGTTGAATCAGAGGCAGAGTCCGGCCGGGAGAGGCGCAGGTTGCGCTAACTATATATGTCCGCTCCCAGCACAGACAGGGCTGGGGAGGGAGGATCTTAGAGGACCATGAGGAAGGCTGCAAGGTCCACCATCTTCATAAGCCCCCCCTAGGGTCAAGCTGAAGTCCCCTTTGAACTGATCGAGAGGTGCTGTGTCAGGAGCAAGCTCTGTTTGTGTGTCTAGAATGCCCATCATTTTAATACAGAAAATCAAGTACTACATGTTGGGCACCGCTGGCTCACTCCTGCAATCCTAGCTCAGGAGGCTGAGATCTGAGGATTATAGTTTGAAGCCAGCCAGGACAGGGAAGTCCATGAGACTCTGATCTCCAATGAACCACCAGAAAACCAGAAGTGGTGCTGTGGCTCACGTGGTAGAGCGCTCACCTTGAGCTGAAGAGCTGAGGGACAGCGCTCAGGCCCAGAGTTCAAGACCCACTACCGACACACACATACACACAAACCTCCCCTTCCCAAACCCAAACAAAAACAACCCCCAACAAAGACTCCATGAGCAAGGGCCGTTGCACACGAAGCGTTTATTTGGAGAGGGACAAGGGTAGTTGCTCAAGCTGTAAACTACTAAAATGAAAGCCGGAAGACCCTCTCCAATTTCTAGAAGTTCTCTGGCCCAGCCGCATCTACTACGGGATCCAGTGGGGACCAAAACTCTTTAGGCCCCGTCACTGGCTGGCTGGTGGGGAGAGGTTGTGAGGCCTTTTCTTGGGTGAAAAGAGGAAGTTTCTCGATTAGCTGGGAAGAAAGAAAAGGAGAGGAGGAAAGAAGGGGGGCAAAAGTGAGAAGCAGACGACTCATGAGAGAATTTGGGGGGCTTGGGGGACAGGAAGGAGAGCAGGAGGAAGGACGTGCAGTTACTCATCCAGGGGACACATTTTTTTTTTTTTTTGGTCAGTCATGGGGCTTGAACTCTGGGCCTGGGCGCTGTCCCTCAGCTCTTCAGCTCAAGGCGAGCGCTCTCCCCCTTGAGCCACAGTGCCACTTCTGGTTTTTTCTGTGTCTTTGGTGCTGAGGAATCGAACCTGGGGCTTCATGCATGCTAGACAAGTGCTCTACCACTGAGCCACCTTCCCAGCCCCTTTCCTCCGGTTACCCCCCCCCACCGCCCCCTCCTCGTACCTGCTCTCGTCCCGGTCCAGCAGGGCGTGGAAGGTCTCCAGGTCCCTCTGCAGCTGACCCCGGCTGGCCAGCAGATGCGCGCGCTGCTGCAGCTGCTGCTCAGCCTCGGCGCGGATCTCGCTGAGCTCGGCCTCCAGCCGGCCCACCACGGCGCCCAGGTTCTGCAGCTCCATCTCGTGCCAGTGCTTGGCGTCGTGCAAGCTGTTCTCCAGGCCTCGTTTCTGCACAAAGGTGACAGGGTTCGCCAGTGGGATGACAGGCGTGTGCTACCACGCCCGGCTTTTTATTGGTTGAGATGATGTCTCTAAACCTTTTGTGTCCTTTTTTTTTTTGGTTGGTCATGGGGCTTGAACTCTGGGCCTGGGTGCTGTCCCTCAGCTCTTCAGCTCAAGGTGATGGCTCTACTACTTGAGCCACAGCGCCACTTCCAGTTTGCTGGTGGTTCACTGGAGATAAGAGTCTCAGAGACTTTCCTGCCATCCTCAGATCTCAGCCTCCTGAGTAGCTAGGATGACAGGCGTGAGCCACCAGTGCCGGGCTTCTGAACACTTTTAATCCAAGGTTGATTGAACCCATGGGTAGGGAGGGCTGACCTCAATTGCTTTAATGAATAATAATCAGCCATTGCAAAGCCACAAGCCGGAGGCTCACACCGGCCAACCTAGCAACTCAGGAGGCTGAGACCTGAGGATCACAGTTTGAAGTCATCCCAGGCAGGAAAAGTCCCCTAGACTCTTTTTTTTTTGGGGGGGGGGTCTGGTCCTGGGGCCTGAACTCTGGGCCTGAGCACTGTCCCTCAGCTCTTCAGCTCAAGGCTAGCACTCTACTACTTGAGCCACAGCACCACTTCCAGCTTTTTTAATTTTTTAAAATTTTTTCTGTTTATGTGGTGATGAGGAATGGAACCCAGGGCCTCATGCATGCAAGGCAAGCACTCTACCACTGAGCCACCTTCCCAGCCCTCCCTAGACTCTTATTTCTACTTAACCACCAAAAAAAGCCAGGAGTGGAGCTGTGGCTCAAGTGGTAAAGCACCAGCCTTGAACAAAGAAAGCCCAGGGACAGCGCCCAGGCACCGATTTCAAGCCCAAGGACTGGCACAAAAATCCCACACCCCAACCGAATCATTGCAAGACAGCTGCATGCACACAACAAGACTTTGAAGAACTTACGGTGCATTTGCCTTGTCCAAAAGCAGAGCTTGGGACAAGAATTCTAGAACATCTACAGGGTTGATGGGTTGTGGTCAAGGCCGGGAGGAGGGCAGGACAGGGCGGGGCCAGTGGTAAGGAGAGGGGGGTCTCCCTTGGAGCTGGTTGCAGCTAGATCCCACAGACAGCGGGGCAGGAAGTGGTTCCCGGAGGGAGGAGCAAATGAGCTGAACTTGAAGCCCCTCATCTGCCAGCCATTGGGGCTAGGAGGCCTCTGTTGGGCTGCGTGTGATTTCCTGCAGAAGCAGCATGACTTAAACAGACAGCTGGGGGCTGGGAAGGTGGCTCAGTGGTAGAGGGCTTGCCTTGCATGCATGAGGCCCTGGGTTCGATTCCTTAGCACCACATAAGCAGAAAAAAGTGGGAAGTGGCATTATGGCTCAAGTGGTAGAGCGCTAGCCTTAAGCTGAAGAGCTGAGAGACAGCGCCCAGGCCCAGAGTTCAAGGCCCAAGACTGACCAAAAGCAACAACAAAAAACAGACAGCTGTCAGTGTTAGCAGTCAGGTTAAGCAGTAGGGTAGGACACTTGCTCTTTTTTTTTTTTTTGGTAGGTTGTAGGGCTTGAACTCAGGTCCTGGGCGTTGTTCCTGAGCTCTTTTGCTCAAGGTTGGCGCTCTAATGCTTTGAGTTGAAGCACCACTTCCGATTTATGATTGGTTCATTGGAGAGGAGAATCTCACAGGGACTTTTCTGCCTGGGCTGGCTTTGATCTCAGCTTCCTGAGTTACTAGGATGACAGGCGAGAGCCACCAGTGCCTGGCGGTACTTACTAGTTCTATTTAGTCTTCTTTCTCTCTTCCTTTCTCTCATTCTTTCTCTGTTCCTTTCTCTCTTTTTGTGCTGATTCTAGAGCTTGAACTCAGGACCTCGGCACCGTTCCTGAACTCTTTTTTTAAAGTTGATCGTGGGGCTTGAACTCTGGGCCTGGGCGCTGTCCCTCAGCTCTTCAACTCAAGGCAAGTGCTCTACTACTTAGGCCACAGTGCCACTTCTAGTTTTCTGGTAGTTCATTGGAGATAAGAGTCTCACGGATTGTCCTGCCCAGGCTGGCTTTGAACTCCTGAGTAGCTAGGATGACAGGTATGAGCCTCTGGTGCCCGGCAGTGACAAATGCTACGTGTCACTCTACTTGCCATCACTCAGCATCAGAATGGCCCCCGTCCTGTCCTGTGCAGTGGGAATCCTTTGCTGACCAGGCCCCGTGTGGATAGTTGTGAGGGTTAAACTCAGCACAAGCAATGCCAAGGCTCTTCCTGGGTCACTCACCAGCGCCCGCAGGGACTCGGTCTCCGCCTGGAGACTCTGTACCTCGCAGGAGGCGTTGTGCAAATCCACCCTCAGTGCCGCCGCCAGCTTTTCTTCCTGGGTCTGGGACGCAAGGGCCACCTCGGCCTGTTGCTGTGAGACACCAGATCTTGGGGTGAGTGGGGAGTCCACCCCTCCCCTTCAGCCCTTCCGACAGCTTTGAGCAGGAGGAGGCTTAGCTGTCAGATGAGCAAAACTGCATTTTTTGTTAATTCCAGGGCTTGAACTCAGGGTCAAACATGGCTTGGATGGCTCATTCCGCTGGGGACTCTACTACGTGAGTCATGCCTTATGGGGCTTGAACTCAGGGCCTCAGCCCTGTCTCTGAGCTCAAGGCGAGCGCTCTACCACTTTGAGCCACAGCCCCACTTCCGGCTTTTGAGTGGTTCACTGGAAATAAGAGTGTCATGGGAACTGAGCGCTGGTGGCTCACGCCTGTCATCCTATCTACTCAGGAGGCTGAGATCTGAGGATCACGGTTCAAAGCCAGTCTGGGCAGGAAAGTCTGTGAGACTCTTATCTACAATGAACCACTCAGAAAACAGGAAGTGGCGCTGTGGCTCAAGTGGTAGAGGGCTCACCTTGAGCTGAAGAGCTGAGGGACAGCACCCAGGCCCAGAGTTCAAGCCCCATGATCGACCAAAAAAAAAAAAAAAAGAGTTACATGGGGTTGGGAAGGTGGCTCAGTGGTAGAGCGCTTGCCTAGTATGCATGAGGCCCTGGGTTCGATTCCTCAGCATCATACACACAGAAAAAGCCAGAAGTGGTGCTGTGGCTCAAGTGGTAGAGCATTAGCCTTGAGCAAAAGTAGCTCAAGGACAGCACCCTAGGTCCTGAATTCAAGCCCCAGGACTGGGAAAACCAAACCAACCAAACAAACAAACAAAAAAACTCCCACAACCACTTACAAATCCAATCATTTATCTCAAAATCTGCTCCTGGAGGGGCAGGGGCAGCGAGAAATCTAAATTGAAGCATGAATGAATCCTGGTAATTAAAGTTCAGCCTCTTGGGGACGAAAGGTAATTAAGTGCACATTTGCCTTCTCTTTACACAAGCTTTGGAAAAGTGTGTGTGTGTGTGTGTGTTGCCATCAGACTCACAGGAGAGAAGTTCAGGGCTGGTGGATATGTCAGCCCCCAGGGACACCAGGACCACTGACTGGGCTATTTTATCTGAGGAATCCAGGCTGTCAGCTCTGATCGCTGGCTGTGGCTGATCGCAGGAATTCACTCATTCTGCAAATAATTCTCGGAGCTCTGCCTCTCGCGAGAGGCAGCATGGGGGCAGAGAAGAACAAGTCCTGTCTATCTGCTCTGAGACGCAGCCTGCAGAGGACTCGAGTACACTAATGGATCTGTTTTAGCATGAATGTTTCCAGTTAGTGTTGGGCTGGAGAGGGGTGGATCGTGATGATAATGGCCAGTTTGTGTCTTTTATTTTTCTTTTTGAGAGTTGTGGGGCTTGAACTCTGGGCCTGTGGCGCTGTCCCTCGGCTCTTCAGCTCAAGATGAGCGCTCTACCACTTGAGCCACAGCGCCACTTCCGATTTTCTGGTGGTTTATTGAGAGATAAGAGCCTCAGACTTTCCTTGCCTGGGCTGGCTTTGAACTACTATCCTCAGATCTCTGCCTCTTGAGTAGCTAGGATGACAGGCGTGAGCCACCGGCACCTGGCTGATTGAGGGTGATTCTAATGCTCCAGTCTGTCCTCAGAGAAACCCTCACTTCTGGGTGGGGGACAACCCCACAGGGTGCAGACAGAATCAAGGTGGTGAGGGGGTGGACGATTGGGGGGGGAGGGGACCCTGGTCCTCTCTTACCTTAGCCTGGAGCAGGGCGCCCGCCTCTGCCCGGTTCTTTTCCGCGTCTCTCTCCCACTGTACTCTGATGGTCTCAAGGATGCCGTCTAGACCTGTGACCGAGGGCACGTCCACGCGCTCCAGCTCAGACCCCAGAAGCTGTTTGTACAGCAGTTTCACGTCCTAAAAGAAAACAAACACACATTAGGGGAGCCCTGGAGAAGCAAGAGGAGACAAAATTCTAGCTCACGGCTGGGCGCCGGTGGCTCACGCCTGTCATCCTAACTACTCAGGAGGCTGAGATCTGAGGATCACAGTTCACAGCCAGCCCGGGCAGGAAAGTCCATGAGACTCTCATCTCCCATGAACTACAAGAAAACCGGAAGTAGAGCTATGACTTAAGTGGTAGAGCGCTCGCCTTGAGCTGAAGAGCTGAGGGACAGTGCCCAGGCCCAGAGTTCAAGTCCCATGACTGACAAGAAGAAAAAAAAAAAAGGATTCTGGCTCTGGACATTTTGTTTTTCTTCTCTGCTATAGCCATAGACAGGCAGTCTAGAGACTAGCAGTACTCCCCCTCTTCTTGATTTATCTACCATGTTCTCTTCCTAAGGGGTGTGTGTGTGTGTGTGTGTGTGTGTGTGTGTGTGTGTGTGTGTACTGGTACTGAACTCAGGGCCTTGTACTCTCCTTTGGTTGGCTTGCTCAAGGTTGATGCTCTACCACTTGAGCTACGCCTGCAGTCTGGCATTTTGCTGGTTAACTGGAGAAAACAGTCTTTCAGAGTTTGTCTGCTTGGACTACCTCCAAACTGGGATCTTTAGCCCTCAGCCCTCCTGAGCGGCTAGAATTGTAGGAATATACCACTGGCATGTGGCCCTGCGGTTGTATTTTTTAGGTTGACCTCCACAAGCCCAGGTACAAAGCCGAGGATCAAAATAAATATTAACCAGATGCCGGAACTCACACCTGTAATCTTAGCCATTCTGGAGGCTAAGATCTGGGGATTGCAGTTCAAAGCCAGCCAGGAAAGGAAAGTCCGTGAGACTCTTATCTCCAATGAACCACCAAAGTATCCTGGAAGTGGTTCAAGTGGTAGAGCACCCAGCCTTGAGCACAAAAGGTCAGGGACAGCACCTGGGCCCTGAGTTCAAGCCCCAGGACTGGTGCACACACACACACACACACACACACACACACACACACACACA